AGTACTGCAGCCACCCCTGAGCTCAACTCATGGTTCTTGGGACCACCAAGCTCTTGCACTGTATTCAGGATGAGCCTGAGATCCTGCAGCCTGGAGGTGAGGAGTCCTAAGTGCGCTGAACACAGGGGAGCAGGTGGTAGCTCTGTCCCTGCCATCGTATTTCAGACCTGTCATGTTTCCACTACTGTTGAGGAGAATCTTGAACAGCTTTGGCTGCATTAGTAGCTTTGGTAGCAGAATGTGCTGCTGGAGCTTGTAAAGGAGCATCATTCCGTCTGAGCTGGCAATCTCTAGGGAAAGCACAATACAAGTGTATTCTTGGTTTTAGTTGTCTTTTTCCCCTGCTTGTATCCAAAGTGTCTTAGATAAGGCTGATAAAATGCATGAAGCTAATTGCAATTAGAGAGAAACTATCTTCTTAATTTATAGTTTTTATATCTCTGTATACTTTATCATGTGTATACTCTGAAAACCCCAATTATGTATCTTGTGAATGTACTCCTACTATATCTAAGACACACTATCTCATCGTTTAGCAAAAAAGTTTTTTATCAAATTAGTAAGTTAAGAGCTATTTCTTAATAGCTCTTAAGTTTTTGCTTAGAATAGCTCGTAGTCATTTAAGCGAGCTGCTTCCTTTGTGGGTTTTTTTCCCTCACTATACTTCTGTTATCTGCCATATATAACAGAGGTGTATTGCATCCATAGAGCAAAGGTGGCAGAAAAGAAAACTAGTCCTTGTTACTGAATGCGTTGAAAAGTCCATTCCATCATGTTGCTGCTGCTAATGTACCATGGCACATCAGATTCCTCGTTATCAGGTTCTTGCTTTTTAAGTTGAACTCTTGTGACAGTGAGTCCTGCCTTTGGGCACTTCTGAGAGCAGTGAGAAGAATTTAGTTAATCTTTGTCCTGTCCTAGCACTCTACTTTGTTCACAATATTTTGGTTTAAATTATTCTTCTTATGGCAGTAACTTCAATTTTCTGTATGCCTCATGAACTATGTTTCCAGGAGGTCTCTTCTCTTTTCAGACAGTAACTTGACTCAGTTTGCACAAGGAAAACCACTTCTTCAAATTTATATATGTAATTGTTTTTTACAATGGAAGGGTGCACTAGGAATTACAGGTAATAATAATAATACTGAGTGTTTATACAGTGCACTGTTTGCATGAGTTGGAACACCTGCTGCTCATTTAATTTTGGGGGTAAAAAAAATTATATATTAAGGCCAACAGTAAAGCTAAACTAACGCAAGTAACAGGCTGTGGCAGGTGCTGATAATGGCTACTTCTCAAATGCTTTTTGTGCCCTCCAAAAGAAGGAATGGGTCTTGTTCTCTCTCATTGAGAGGAAAAATGTGTTTCATTTGTCCTGTAGTATTAGAGCAGGAAGGAAAGAGCCTGAAACTCATTAACAGGGGGGATGTTTTGGTTGAAAGTGTGGAATGCATTACAAATTGCTGTTCTGTATGTTTCAGGATTCTCAGATTCGTCAGAGTACAGCTTACAGTTTACATCAGCCTCAGGGAAACAAGGAACATGGCACTGAACGAAATGGTAGTCTGTACAAGAAAAGTGATGGGTAAGTACTGCTGGATTCCGTTGAAAAAATCAGGTCTTGAGAGCTGAAGCGAGGCAATACTAAGTATATTAAAACCTGAGTCACTTTTTTGTTTTTCTCCCCCTTAAACCAGAATCAGAAAAGTGTGGCAGAAAAGGAAGTGCTCAGTTAAAAATGGGTTTCTTACAATTTCCCATGGTACAGTAAGTATTTGTTTACAGTATTTTATGTACATGGTTGCTAATACAAAAAGGCAAGCTATGCTGGTCTATATTTATAATTTGGAATTAGTTAGATTCCTGGTGCAGCATTTTGAAAATGATGGATACTTTTTTTTTTTAAGGCAGTGTTTCAGAAATATATCAAGACATACACACAGTATCTAAAAATACAACTGATTTAATGCTCATGACTGTTAATGGGAAAAAAATGGCTTTCATTAATGACTCAGTTCATGTTAACTGTTCACATTTTACCAGACTATCTAAAAATACAAATTCTAACTTATCTATCTTGCTGAAAGATATGGTTGGGCATTAAGCCATCTTTTAGATACAGGTTAAACAACTTTTTATATTCACAAGACAAACTGAGAGAATGCTGAATCTCTTCTTTCCCTCAGTTTTGCTGATACGTATTATGAAGGTAGCTTTCCTGGGTAGTAGCTGCTGGGGGAAATCAGCTCTGAAGGCAACTTTTACCAGAATGACAAGAGAGTTACAAGTCCCTCTTTCTTTGCTGCCAATATTTGAAACACATTAACAAACTTTTAATATTTACACTTAAAGTTTTAAAACTTTGTATTTTTACAGTTTGGACTTTTTACACTTGGCTTTGAACTCTGCTGTTTCTGCTTTCCCATAACTTTTCTTCTTTATATTGCATTCTCAAAAATTCAAAGAAAAGTTTGTTGAGGCAAAAATCAACTCAGAGACAGTATTTCCCATTCTTGGTCTAATAAACAATCCTGTTTCTTGATCCTGCTATGAACCATGTTGTTCTTCATCCTGTTATGCCTGTTACCATGACTACGAGTTGACCCTGGCAGCAAAAATGAATCAATCTCTCATTTGTACATCTAACCACAAGCTGTTGCCATCTGAATTGACAACCAGGAGTTAAGGAGGAGAGCAAAACCAGGCAGAGTAGAGTCATTACTATGGCTTTGGAGTTGTGCACTAGTTTATCCCTCTTCTCATTTGAGCATGTATGAGTGCATCTTTGTCTGAAAAAGTCTGTTAGTCTATTCAATGCTGGTGTCCCTGTGTGCTGTAAATGCACTTGGCATAGGGCATGCTGTGGTGGTACCAGTAGGAGTGGAGCTAGGGCAGCATAGAGCTGGCAGAGGCTACAAAATGCACTTACAGAGCAGCATTTTAAAACTTTCACATGCAAGTGCAGTTACTGAGTCTATCAGGATACTGTTGTTCTTCTCTCTTTTATAAGCTTTCTACCAGATGGTCCAACATTTTTAGAAGTTGTAAGTTCCCACTGAAGTCAGTGGAGCTGTAGCTGGAAATCAGTTGCTAAGGTAGATACTTAAATGTGAGTTAGATAAGTGAGTTTCGTAGGTTTGGTCTTGATCTTTTTATATTACAAAATTAAAAGGCTACCTTCTTGTTTTAAAATACACTCCTAAAAAGTGTTTTTACTTATTTGCTCACTTCCCCCTTATGTATCAATGGCAGTTTTGTGTAAAATAAATTAATGCTTGTTTCATAGATGTTGAAATGGGTAGAAGCAATTTCTGTTTAAGAATATTCTGGGTTGCTCTGAATGTCTTCTGAATGTTCTGAAGCAGCAACGTTGATTTCCAAGCTTTCCCGGGGTTGATATCTCCTATCTCTAAAATATGGTATGTCATTCTCTCTTCCCAGCTGTTCATCAAAATGAACCATCTCTCAGAAATTCAGTTGTCAGTTTTGTTTGCTTTATCAAAAACAAATTTGTAAATGCTTTTCCTTTAAAGGCTGGATATACTTCATGGATTTCTGTTCTTTGGTCATGTAGTCTCTCTTTACGAGGACTATTTTTATTTTTTTTTCAGTTAGTTTCTAGAACAGCTGTCTTAAGGCAGTTGCAGATGCTATATTCTGACTTCAGTTTGCCTGCCAGGTGCTCTCCTGGAGAGAATATGGTTGGTTCTCTGTTGGTCACCCAGCTGTAACATTGGATACATGTGTCTGCATGGGCATAGGTGCAGAAGTTACACTTTCAGAGAACTAAAAGATTCAAAGAAATTAGCATTCACAGAGCAACATGCAAGGCAGTGGTTGATTAGAAAACCAGACGGTGCTGCTTTGTGTAATTATTAGCAGTTGGAAATTGTCTGACGTCTACCTGACATCAATTTAACGCATGTGGATGAAGAAACAATGATAGAAGCAGATTGAGCCGTGTAAATAGGAATTCCTGAGTGGTTTCTGGATCAAGAAGTTGTAAGGGGAAAACTTATATTTCAGGAACCTCAGATGCCTCGAAGTTGACTTGTGTATAAAGAGTTTAAACGAAATGTACTCGTTGTCTGCAGAAAAGGAATAGAAGAGACTCATTATCAAAAGATAATTTTTGTTGTTCTTTCTTTACTACTGGAAACTTCAGTCTACCATTATGATTAACAGGACAATCTGAAGGCAAAAGAATCAGGTTGAATCTTTTGATTCTTAAGTAAATTACTGTGATACCCAGTTGGCACAATGAAATCAGCCAGCCAGTCTGTTAAGTAGGCTCATGCCTTTTGTAAAAATCAGCTTTGCATCATGACACTTCTTGGAATTGTCTTAGAGGCCTAAACTTTTGGTTCCTACACTTACTGTTTGTTGCCAGAACAAATTATAAGTCAGTTTTGCTGGATGGAGGATTTCCATTTTGACAGGAAGGAACATGAGTTGATGCTGAAGTCTGAATGTATGGTATGGAAGGTGGGAGCACATCTTTTCAAGTTCTTGGTGTGTTATCATGGGTGTCCAAAAATTCAGCAGTAGTCTGAAATTTGTCTCCTCAGAGACTCGAGCAGTAAAGTAAAGCTCAGAAGTTTTAAACAAAGAGTGTAATAGCAGTTACACATTTGTTACTGTCTTCTACTTCCAGTGTCTAGTAATCCTGCCAAATGTCTGGATCCACTACAGCCTTGTGTGAGTAAGGAATTTATACAGCCTTACCTCCCCTTGTCTTGTGAATCTAACTTCTCCCCAGGCAGTATTTGCTATGTGATAGAAGTGTGTTGTCTGCCAAGTAATGGGCACATATTGGGGAGGTGGATAGGGGGAGGCTATGGCTACAACCTTGGCTACAGGGTTGAAGCATGGATGAGGTGGTATCAGCTACATGTGAGGATGTCAGGGATTTTTAATACCTTTGTTAATGCTGACTTCAAGTTAGGAAATCTTCAGTTAAAAGCTTTGGAGTATGTTTGGATTCCAAGATCAGCAGATTAGTCAAGGATTTGTTTTATGTTGTTACAGCCATTTATTTGAGTTCTCAGACCTGATGCAGAGTTCCTATGCCGCCTTCCTCTATCCAGAGGGATGAGTTCTGTGTATATTGGTCCTTTAGATGTCTCTGAAGCATTTCTTTAGGTCCTGAATATGCTTTAGATCCGAAGTCCTGTGGCAAGTGGGTTCTTTCTTAACCTGAATTTATTTGCATTTTCACATTCTTGTAAAGCCTGTGATAAAGGTATATATGAGTTGCCCAGTGGCTTATTTACCAAATACTTACATTTTGATTTTTGCTTGCTTTATTCTGTATTTTCATTATAGGCAACTTATGGGCACTTCTTAGACAGTTACATTAAAAATGTAAACAAAGAAAACTTTAGTGCTATGGGTAGTAAGTATATTTAAATATAAGTGAGAAAATGGGCCCAAGCTGGCATTTTCAAGATGTTTTCTTGCATGCTTATAGTTACAAAGAACTCTTGTCATTGATAGGCTAAAATAATGAAAACTGTATGAGCTTTTACTGCTAAAAGCAATGTGTGGAATTTGAAAAGCTATTTACTAGGCAGAGAATCCAATGTGGTTGTCAATTAATTGTCATCTTGCTGCCTGCAACACCTCTCTTGGGTACAATTTGTTTTACATTGCCCAGCAAGTGACCTGCAGGTTTGTTGTTTGAAAGCATGAATGACTTTGTCTGCTGCTTTTGCTGGGCAAAGCATCAGCATGCTGTTTTTCAAGGACACTGTGCTGCTTTTTTTTTCTTTTTTAACAGGAAAAAGAAATCCATAATTGTTTCCCTTCTTACGTTTCTCCATGGTTTTGAATTTTTTAGTGGTCTTCAGATATGATGATGATGCTGTTCTTATTTTGGCTGTGCTACATTGTTTCAAGGAAACTTAAGCTCTTCAGACTTGTTCTCCCTTTTTCGAATGAAATGTTTTCATCAATAGATTTAGAAGAGAGAAAAATCTATGCTTCTTATGATTCATTGCAAGTTAATTATATTATGTGATAGTTCAGCTTCATTTGATAATAGTTCTTGTTCAGATGATTACTCTTGTTTTATTAACTCGATAGATTAAAATTGTTAGAATGCACCAATAAGTGTGGTAATGTGTATATGTATATTGCTATCTTTATAGTAAATTGAATGATTGAAATTACTATTTTCAGATATTACTGTCTAGAGCAAAGTGTCTCTAGTTAAATCTGCTTTCTGATTTACTTACTCGAAAAAAAAAGCGAAACTAGTAATCCATTGTAGCAAGTGCAAACCATTCCTAAACTCAAGGTTACAAACATAACATCTTTCTAGGCCCTACCCCGGGTCTGTAGAACAGGCAGGTTAAGGTAAAGGAGATTAGTGCAGAGATGCTATTTGAAAAGTCTGTGGCCTTTATGAGACTTTTCCAAAATGAATTTGCCTGTGAATTTTGCTTTTAGTAAAATATTGCCACTTCTTATTCAGTAAGGAACTGAAATAGCTAAGAGGAACCTGACTAGAAAATATGTGTCATTATAGAATGTATTTTGGTTTAGTACATTTTTTAGTAATGAACTATCTCAGTTTAGTTTTGCATGTTTGTTGCAAGACTGCTCTGTGCAAACTTATTTTCCTCCAGTGTGTCCCTTTACCATTTAAAATTGGAGTGTTTGTTCTAAACTGGTTATCAAGGCTTTCTTTGAGGACATTAACAGAAATCAAATTATTTGATGAAAACCTAGACAATGAATTTTTTTTTAACTAAATGTCTAAATGTCTTCTTAAACTTAGGTAAAATTAATCTGTCTTTGTCATACCTGATCCCTTCAGAGAAGTGTTACTAGTAGGGGGATCAGAGTAGTGATAATTAAAGTGATTTTAGCCCTCTGCCCTTTCAAAATTCTAGGGGCTATCCAGTTATCTGTAAGCAAAATAGCTTATAGTATAAGATATAGTATACAGTATAAGAAAATCTAATTTACAAACCATGATGCAGAAGAAAACATAAATAAAAACTGTGGGTGCCTTAAAAATTAACAGCTATTTGTCAAGTCTTTTTGGCCAGTGGGATGCTACCCTCTGTTTTTGGACTGCAGGGCTTAGTCAGTATCAGTATACTAAAATGTGCGTGTTTTGTCTTCAAATAGGCTAACCGACCTCCAGCAAAGCTCAATCTGTTAACCTGCCAAGTGAAAACAAACCCAGAAGAGAAAAAATGTTTTGACCTCATATCACGTAGGTTTGTTGTTCAGGTCTTTTTACTTGTCGCTAATATTAGAGTTTTGCGTTATTTCTGTAGGTGTGTCAATAACCCACTTCAACAGTTTTGCAATTGTAGGATGCTTTCCCTTCCTGTGACAGTTTACCATTTGACTTATTTTAGCGTAATGCAGCCAACTGTAGCTGTTTCTTTGGAAAACCACTTGGTTTTAAAGCTGTATTTACTCCTTTCTATATTGTTTTGTGTTACCTTACAATAGACTAACGATATTTTTGCTGTGACACCACTCTTTATATTGAAAATGTCATAGCTGATCATCTTGAGAAGTCACAACTTTTGTACAAGATCAAAAGAACCTTTTAAACCATGACAAAAACTTCTTAAAATTTAAGCATAGTGGTTGCAATGTAACTCTGACCGAAAACCTTTTTAGTTTTGTTATCTCATAATAGATAAAGGTGAGAGTCTATGTATTAAAACCACCAAAAATTAATAATTTGGGAAACTGAATGGGATGACACAAACTTGCATTGTAGAATGCTTCCTTTGTTTTCTCGCTGGCACACTTGAGGATTTTATTTATGGACTCAGAAGAACACATTACTAAAATACATATCTGAAATTATTTGGGAAGAGGAATATAAATCTGTTCCTCATTTGTTCCTTTACCAGATTGTAAAGTTCTTTTGTATTTGTAAATGTAAGATACGCTACTTACGTTAATAGACTAGTACTCTTGTATGCAATACACAGCTTTTCCATTTTTGCACAAGCAAGGTGTCTTCCCTGTTTACTTTTCACTTTCTTTCTTTGTTGGTAGCCTGGGGCCAAATATCAGCATATCGTGATGTTATCATTTGTCCCATCATCCACATGACAAGATGTAATCAGCATTCTCTAGATCACTTTTTCACTTTATTTTACTATAGAGTTTAAAAACATTCCTTGTTTTTTTACAAACAGAAAATTCCTGTATATGATGGCAAGATAAAATCTCGTAATTATCTAGCACTTTCCTTTCTGTCCTTTCATGTATCCTCACTTTCTTTAATGTTTTTCATGCCTGAAACTATCTTTCAATACCTTTTGGGGTGAATATTTCTCAAACTTTAAGAATTTTCAGCCTAGAATATCTTTTTGCCAGTAGTTTTACCTACGTTCTTCTCATCCACAGTTCTAATTTTGACTGCAACTCAGTCATTAAACTGAATCATGTCTCACTTGTTTCATAGACTTAAAATCTGTTATACATTTTTTCTTTAATAGTACACTATGTTAACAATGCCTAGAATTACAAAAATAGCAGTAAATGAGATTTTTTGAGCTTGATTTAACTGAAACATCTTGGCATTTACTCTGATTGTAATTGGACTTTGTGTCTGTCAAATTTGTTTTGCCATTTTTGGTTACTGTGGTTTTAAGAGCTCATTTGGAAACGTTAGATCTTTCTTACATACACAGATGAACTCAAATATGGACTCTATATTTTACACATACGCACACCACTACCACCCCCAGTAGAACTTTAGACTTGTCATTACTGAGATTGCATCTAGAACATGGAAAAATTACTATGCTCTGCTGCTGCTTAATCAGTTGAAGCACAGCACAGGAGAAAACAGTTTCTGTATTAAGAGTAACAAGGCACCTTTTGTAAAGATGGGTGTAAACATAGATGAACTCTCAGTAGTAAGAATGAAACTTGGTAAAGAGACTTTTTGCTTGCCAGCGTTCCAGTGATGAGACTAGAGACCTCAGGAGTCACACATCAATTATTAATTTTAGATTTTTCTGAGAGATTTCTGCAAAATCAGTTTTTTAATCATTTTTTTTTTAATCAGTATGTGAATTATTTATTGTGCAGATGACAGAACGTACCACTTTCAAGCGGAGGATGAACAGGAATGTCAAATGTGAGTTACTCTGTTAATTTATTTTTGATACTGGTGTTCTACTGAAACGTTACCTTGAACTTCAGAAGTGCTGAAACATTTAATAGCAAAATATTACTGCCATTTTAGATGGACATCTGTGCTACAAAACAGCAAAGAGGAAGCTTTAAATAATGCATTCAAAGGAGATGATAACACAGGAGAAAATAATATTGTCCAGGAACTGACAAAAGAAATTATATCTGAAGTCCAGAGGATGACTGGAAATGATGTGTGTTGTGACTGCGGAGCACAAGGTGACTCAATTAAGCATATTTCTAGCTGGTAAAAATTCTGTGTCTCATGAGAGTAATTTAAGCTGATGTTTTATGCTTTCACTTTTACTCCCTGTCTCACAAAGATTATACACACAGTAGAATATGCTAACAATTAAATTGCTCTATTTTAGTAAGATTGATTTGCTTATATGCATATTGTCAGTAGGGAGAAAAGTTACTAAGAAGCTTATTCTTCTCCCATGTATTATTCTAATTGTAATTTTTGCTTATATAAATCAATGGAACTTATTTTATGAGCCCGTATTTTACATAAGATTTAGGTAAAACTGGACAGCAGTGTGAGACTTGAAGCATTTTCCCAGTACATCTCTTTTTAGTATTTATTCTGGGTTTGTTTTGTTGGGTTTTTTTTTTGTCTTTGTATGTTTGACTTTGAGAATGAGCCAGAAAATATGTCTTAAGACTGCTCATTTGGAAATGAATGCACTTGCTGACTATAGTCTGCGGTGTTGGGTTTGTTGGTCAATGAATTTCTACTTTAATCCTCTTCAAATTATTTTCTAAATCCTGCTGTTTCCTGTGTTCTTTTATGTTACAGAGGCACTACAGTTCTTAGGTGGTTTTGATCTGAAACTAGCTCAAAAAACATCAGATCTGAGGCTGTATGCATTTTATAAATCAATACAAACTTCCAGCAATAGATACTATATAAAACTATGGGAAGAGACAATCCTACTGTCTTCAAAGGAAAAGATTCTAAATGGCTACTACCAAACATTTATCAAATAAATGAATTACCTGTCTAAATTTTCAGATATTAATTATTTTACTGGAAGATGCAGGAATGTTATAGCAAGAATGCAAAATACCAGGAGAAAAGACAAGGAAGGGTTACAAAAGGAGAGGGATGAGCCTTAGTATCTTCAAAATAGTTGAGTAAGAATCCTTTGTGGTGTGGTGCTGTATGTATACTGCAGAATCACTGCTGCCTCACTTATTCTGAAGTCTGTACTTGAAATACAAAAAACCCCCTGTAGGCATTGTTATTTCAGTTTGAACTGCACTATACCCCCAGTTGAGAATGTAACGCCATTATACTGGTGGTGATAAAATGCAGTTCCTGAAAGCTGTGTGCAGAATGACAAACCAGGCTGTTTATGCAGCTCCCTTGAAGAGCAATACCCTTTACGTTCCACAACCCCCGAAAAAAATACATTATTCACTTCTTTCACGAATACAGTAAATGTAAAGACATAAATTAAAAAACCTGACAATTCATGTACAGGACTCTATTTTACAGAATTTCATTTCTGTATACTACATTTTCTAGAATGAAATAATTGCCTGAATAAATTTTAGTTCTGTGTGTACTTTCTGTTTCAGATCCTACCTGGCTTTCAACAAACTTGGGAATTCTAACTTGCATTGAATGCTCAGGAATCCATAGAGAACTTGGTGTTCACTATTCCAGAATGCAATCACTTACGTTAGATGTGCTGGGAACATCTGAACTTCTGGTAATCAAATTGTTTTTATTAACTTAAAAATAGCACTATATAATACTTCCAGCACAGGTACATTTTTGTCACTTTAATAATATATTGTTCCAATCCTAAAAGTTGCCTCTGGATAGAAGTAATGTAAAAAAGCTTAACTCTTCAATTTTAAGGGAACCTCCTGGAACATAGTGTCTTACTGTAAACTTTGCTGGATCTTAGAATTCAAATTTGTGGAGGCTTCATATTTTTCATGTCTTTTCGCCCTTGGTTGCTTTTTAAAAGAACACAGCTGTTTGACATGTAAATGTGCCTCTCAGATTAAAAATTGAAGAACTTCACAAATATTTATGCCATTAATTATTTAGCATTATTTTAGAAGACAACTTTAATCCTCAAAGGAAGAAAATGTATTCAGCTTTGCTACACAAAGAAGTTACCGCATATCAGCTACTCTGTGACAGTTCATATCCAGCACAAAGTATTTGCATTTATTGGACAAACTGGTGTCTTGATGGATTATTCTGCAGTTACTTTTTTGTGTATTAAATCCCTAACATCCAGAAAAGGTACCTAATCTATTAATGATTGCTGAAACAGTAGCAGAACTAGGAATCAGAAACAAAGTCCCAGCTCCCTTTTCCTTGTCCTCCCACCAGTACGCGCGTGGCCAGAAACTGAACATATTTATTAAGAGAGCTGTGGATTTATTTTTTTTTTTTAACAGCTTGCAAAGAATATTGGGAATGCTGGGTTTAATGAGATCATGGAATTCTGTCTGCCAGTTGATGAGGTGGTCAAACCTAATCCAAGCAGTGATATGTAAGTAAAGAGCCACTACTTTTGAAAAAGGCAGGCATTTAATTTCATATGGCTAATGGGTTGTGCCGTTATGATTTGCATCAATAAATCTGTAGAGAGATGTGTAACGTCTTATATATAGCCTTATATGGCCAGGGAGTAAACCTTTTTTTACTGAATGCTTTGCATGTCTGTTTTATTGAACTTTATCTGATTGTACCTTCCCTTATAGTAAGGATTATTTTACCAACTCTGAATCATGATTTGTGGGGAAGAAACAAATCAAACATGGCTTGTTGAGATTTATAAAGACTCACTGGGTAAAGATTAAAAAAGAAGCTATTAATTCTGTGCTATTAAAACAAAACAGAAGTTGGAGTAAAGTGCATGTTTTACTTGAAATTACGGAGCGTCTACTGTTTAGAAAGTACACCTAGAACTTAAGTCCATAACTATGTGGAATAAAGACAGAACATTTAATTGAATTCCTCAAAAACACTGAATAGTGATGGCAGAGACACAGCAAGGACAGCTGTCTACTTGGCTGGATACTACTCCATCGTAAAAGAGCTGGTAAATGATGCAGAAACAAACACAGAAGAATTGGCTTTGGATGAAGCTGATTTTACATTATCTGGACTTTCACCAGAAAGGCTTTCTGACAGAACCAGTGTTAAACCATGCAGTTTAAATAATTTTATTACTACCACTATCAATAATAATACAAAATATTAATAGTCATGATTAAAAGTCATTAATAGTCATGATTAAAATCACCAGTAATTTCACTGAGTACTAAATCAATAGCATAAGAAGACTTCTAAAATTGATATTTTAAAAAATAATTTCTTTTGATACATCTGCATATTAATTTGGGGCTTTTTAAAAACAGACACTTTTTAAAAACTGAAGGAATACTTCAGGAACAAGAGCTATCAATTGATTCAATTTACTATTTGGATTTTTTTTTTACTCTTTGATGGTTATACAGTATCTAGATGATAAAGTATGGCTTTGTTAAATGTCTTTCATGCACTGCTGTGTACATCCCAAGAGCTGGTAAGGATTTATGCCTTTGGGAGGCATGCAAGCTCCTGTCTTGCTGTGATGGGAAGAAGAGTAGTCATTTGTTAGCTGTGAGTCAACAGCAAATTGATTCAAGGGTGCTAAGTTTTCACTTCAGTTTAGAGGCAAAAATAAAAACTCCACTACAGCCTCCCTGTTACAGTTGTGGTGAAGAGCTGCTTTACAGAACATACTCACTGTTGTGAATAGAGATAAAAGGCCCATATAGTCTATGCAGGGGTATAAGACAGGTTTGTGTGTCCTGTGCCTTCCATATCTTTCCAGCCTGCGTAGCAGTACAAGTCAGGTAAACATAAACCTGCAAGCTTACTGTGAGCAAACCAGCATTATGAAGCTTTGATGTATCTTCTGTACATAGAGCTGAGTAATCTTGATCTCAACTTCACAGGAGTTCAGAGGGGACAATTCATAGTCTGTCTTTGTATTACGATATTTAATTCACCTTCTGTAGCTGCATTTCATACTGGAAATACAAGACTGAATGTCTTACATGCATATTTAAAAAGAAAAATGATCATAATGAGAAAGTCTTTCCCAGATTTTATTTCAAATTACTTGCATGTGCTTATGGAAATTCTAATGCGCATCTTCTGTTAAAAGTAATAGAAGTAAATGATATTCAATTTCAGGAATGCAAGAAAAGATTATATTACTGCCAAGTATATTGAGAGAAAATATGCAAGGAAAAAGCATGCTGACAATGCAGCTAAATTACATGCTCTTTGTGAAGCAGTCAAATCAAGAGACATTCTTGGATTAGTCCAAGTATATGCTGATGGTGTGGATCTCACAGAAAAAATTCCGCTGGCCAATGGCCATGTAAGTGTTGCAAATTTTATTACACAAATTGTTACAAGTGCAATGTGCTTTCATTAATTAAGAAGGACTGTTTTTTCTTACTTGAAAATAAGATTTAAAACACTGCTCTGAATACTTTTCATTGTAATGATGTCATTTAACAGTAATAAAAGATAGTAGTTTAATCTAAAATAGTTTCCAAATACTATCATGTTTTAAGTATATTAAAACATTAAAAGTCATTCAATAATCTGTTTTCAATGCAAAGGGAAGCAATAAATGTCTTCACAAGACATGTTTTAATGGTAACATTTCTGAATATTTTGCAATTAAATGTTTTAATTTATCTAATTTATGTCTTAATAAAATTTCTGCTTCTCTGAAGATGAGAAGAAACAAATGTGTTCTTTTATTTTATTCTTAGGAGCAAGACGAAACAGCACTGCACCTTGCTGTTAGGTCAGTTGATCGAACATCCCTTCATATAGTTGACTTTTTAGTGCAGAACAGGTAAGTGTATGGAAAACTGTTAAAATATTATTGATGCTGCTTTTATGCCCAGTAATACAAATACTAAAAGTAATTCTGTTATTTGCAAATGTAATTTTCTTCTTTGAAAATCTTGTCATGAGAGAGGTTTATAAAAATAGGGTAGGAAACCAAGTTTAATCAACTTTCTTCTTTCTTGTTCTCAAATAGTGGCAATCTAGATAAACAAACATGTAAAGGTAGCACAGCCTTGCATTACTGCTGTCTGACGGACAACGTTGAGTGCCTCAAACTGCTGCTGAGAGGGAAGGCTTCCATTGAAATAGGTAAACGAGTAATGTGTACTTCAGTTTCAGATTTGTCACTGCTTCAGATGTGAAACAGGAAATGTGGGATAAGTGCATTTTCTGGTCAATTGTTTATTGTAACGCTATGAATATGATCTTCATTATACAAAAAATAATAATCACTGTTTATTTCAAATCTAAAATTGACTTATACATTACACTTATTTTTTAAACAATTTAGATAAGTACCAAGATTTTTACCTGATAGCTTGTTGCCTAGCTATACGTTGCCATTTTATGGCCATCATTTCATGTTGAGTTGCTAGATCTTGCCATGTTCAGAGGGTTGCTATGGGTCCTATATGTGAAGGAAAGAGATGAATTTTAGAGCGTATTGGTTTAGTACTTTGCTGTGTATTTGCAAGCTTGTCTTTAGTAATGGACATGTTAATAGTAACACCTATCATCATAACTTTCTTTTCTTGCTGTAATATAGCTAATGAATCAGGAGAGACCCCACTTGATATAGCTAAACGTTTAAAGCATATTCACTGTGAAGAGTTGGTAAGTGTTGCATCTCTCTATGTGTTCTTGACTCTATAAGCAGAATTATGTCTGAGTATGTAACAGTTTACAGTTAAATAATCAACAAATATATTCTACATGCTTAGAAATAGTTATATGCTTATATCATGTTATATGCTTTTAAGAAGAAAATTACATTTCTTTTTAGATGCTTTGGAAATTGTAAACTTCTTGGGGCCATGGGATGATACTGTTTGAGCTATTGTCCCAGATCCACAAGTAGAGATCCCCTCAGTAAGTTTGCAGATGATACCAGGTTGAATGGGAGTGTTGATCTGCTGGAGGGTAGAAAGGCTCTGCAGAGGTATTTGGACAGGCTGGATCAATGGGCCAGGAGCAGTAGTATGAGGTTCAAAAAGCCAAAGTGCTGGGTCCTGTACTTGGGTCACAACAAATCCATGCAATGCTACAGGCTTGGGGAAGATTGGATAGAAAGCTGCCCAGTCAAAAAGGACCAGGGAGTGGAGGTCAACCACTGTCATACTCATGAACATGAGCCAGCAGTGTGACCAGATGGCTAAGAAGGCCAAGAACATCCTGGCTGTGTGAGAAATGGTGTGGCCAGCCAGAGTAGGGAAGTTAATAATCCCCCTGTACTTGGCACTGATAAGGCCACACCCCAAATACTGTGTTCAGTTTTGGGTCCTTACTGTAAGAAGGGCATTGGGGTGCTGGAGTGTGTTCAGAGAAGGGCAACAAAGCTGGTGAAGGGTCTGGAGCACAAGTCTCATGAGGAATGGCTGAGGGAACTGGGGTTGTTTATCCTGGAAAAAAGGAGGCTGAGGGGAGACCCTGTCACGCTCTACAACTACCTGAAAGGAGGCTGTAGAAAGGTGGGTGAGTCCCTTTTCCCAAGTAATAAGCAATAGGACAAGAGAAACAGCCTCAAGTTGTGCCAGGGGAGGTTTGGATTGGATATTAGGAAAATCTTTTTCACCAAAATGGTTGTCAAGCATTGAAACAGGCTGCCCAGGGAAGTGGTTGAGTCCCCATCCCTGGAGGTATTTGAAAGACGGGTGTAGGTACGGTGCTTAGGGACATGTTTTAGTGGTGGATGTTGTAGCGATAGGTTAAGGGTTGGACTCGATGATCTTCAAGGTCTTTTGCAACCTAGATGAGTTAAGTGGCTGATATCTCACTGAAATCTAATCACTAAAGTACTTTTTATGGATGAAGGCCATTTTCTTGTTGCCCAGAGTTGGAAGTGCTCAGATTGGATGGGACTTTGAGCAACCTATCCAGTGAAAGATAATCCCTGCCTGTAGGGAGTGGGGGGTGGACCAGATGATCTTTAAACCATTCTGTGATTCTATGAAGAGAAGCTGGCTACCATTACTACTTTTGGTAAGCAAGCAAAATGAATTAATGGGGACAAGGCCTCTTGAGAAGTGAGTCTCACTCAGACTAACCTGCCATTGCAGTTACTTTCTTTGACTTACAGTTTGATCAAAGCAAATAGGATGTGGTGCTTATTGTCAGAAAATGGAGAATGGACCTACAATGGTTAATGAAAAGCCTAGTTGCTTTTGATTTATTTGTGTTGTATTTGGTCACAGAGCTTAATTCTTTAAACTTACCCCAATAACTTTCCAGATTACTGAAATCTATCTTTAAAATAACAGTAATATTTGTACTTAAAAAACAAAGTTCCTTCTATAAGTGTTTTTTTGTTTGGTTTTAAATACATTGTTTTAAAATAAGTACTGCACGTATGTGTCAACAGTCATCTTTTTTTCCTTAGCTTACTCAAGCACTATCTGGAAGATTTAATTCTCATGTTCATGTAGAATATGAGTGGCGGTTACTCCATGAAGATCTGGACGAAAGTGATGATGATGTGGATGAGAAGCTGCAGGTTTGTATCAGTACATTACTATTTTTCTGTACACGTGTGAAGATGACATACATAATGATTTCAGTAATGCTCCTTCTTACTATAAGTATGAAGTCATTGTGAATTAAAGTTCTAGTAGCTTAAATAATAGTTCCTAAAATTATAGTTTGTCATCTTTTTTCCTCTTTAATGTGAGGCATAAAACTTGTGACTGTGTGGTAATGATCAAATTACGATTAGCCAGATGCAGTATCTTCTTTTTAGTGGAGCCAGTAGTTTGTTTCAATACATTAGGAATATTTAGATCTACTGGTGGTGAAGCAGAAGTAACATGAGCTGGGAAAATTGCCTTTACAAAGGAAACAGAGACACCCTGTAATATCTCCTCATATCTCCTCATGTTTCTGAAATAGCTCCAGTTGCTGGCTTTAATTTCTGAACAACTTATGGATTGACTTGTCTTCAGTGGAACTAAACTTGTGCATTAAATAAGCTACATCCATTAATAGCAGGGTAGGGTCTTAATTCTGAGTCTTCATAGAATCACAGAATAGTTAGGGTTG